CCTGTGGAAGTTAACAAGATTTTGGATTGTGTTTGTATTTTTAAGTGAAGTTGCGTGTTCAATATATAAGTTTATAGAAGAAGCATAGAACGTGTTCTTCTGCTACGAATGTTTGTCCCTTTTATATTGACTGTATTGAACAAATTATATGTATTTTTTTGTATTTTTAGTATGTCTGTTTTGCTTTTTGGTTCAGAAGTTATTCATGGTAAGTAAGGTTAAAAATGGGTAAAGATGGTAGAGCTCAAGTCAGTTTCGCACTGAGTTGGAATGACCGAATCTATACTTCATGAGTAGGGTTACTGAAAATACGTCTGATCGATATCGTTGGAAAGTGAAAAGTGTTCAGTCACCAGTGGACCGGAAAAACCCAGCGAGAACGTAATTACCGCGTGGCTCTCATCTTTAAGCCAAAATGTTAAAAAGAAACGTTCTGCCCTTTCCGAAATTGGGATCATAAAATCGGATATGTGATCAGAAACCTTTTTTCTACTCTTTATAACTTGCATCATGGGAAAATGAATTTATTTATTGTTTTATTCGTTATTATTTTATCTATTGTTTTATTTTGTTTTCCCAAGGCCCCACGGGAAAATAAGCGTTGATTAGTGAAATTCGTGATATAGTAACTGTTCCGGGTAGTACTCATCGTCCCTGAATCAAGGCGACACAGCCAATAAAATACAAAGGGTTACTAGAAACGTTGTGAGGAGCACGGACAGTAAAACTTAAAGAATCCAAGCAGACACAAGATGGTGATTGCATTGAAATTGTTGGAGATCGTAGTTGACAGGGAAGCAAGAATTTGGAAAGGAAACCAACAGGCGACAGTGGAAAAGAAAGAACCATTAAAATAGACTTTACGCTATCACTTACAAATTCTAACATTATTTTGTGATGCTGGAACATCATTAGATCAACGAATGCTCGTTATTACTTCTGAAATGCTCGTTAAAGACGAGTCTTAGTAAAGCAGGTACTGGTAGTAGTAACGCCCTCAAATAATACTCGTGCTAATAATTCTTATTCAGAGAGTAATCGCTGAATAGTAATTCGTCTAATGATCAGTAAAGAGTAATATTACAGAGTATAGCGAACACTTAGACGTCACGCTAATTCCCATATATATGTTTCCTTTTAGATCACGTAATCTACTCATTTAATAATGGAATCGTCCATGTTTGCTCACTGGTGACCAGTGTTCAAACTACATTGTCGGCAAAAACACTTTATTCCTATACAACACATTAAAAATATAAGCTCTCTCTGCAGATCTTGTACTGAGCTAATAACTGAATATATTTAATATTATCGTTAACCAAATAAAAGGCGCAAGATCTACTAAAGGTAGAGGATTACGCAATGAGATTGCTGTAAGTGCATAAAGCCAGAAAGGAAGAAAGGCATATTATGAGGTTATGTATGACAGATAAGAGTTGAACCTAGTTTTCAAGAGGTTAAATGTGTAGTGATTGCAGAAGTATACACTAGTTAGTCTGCTCCACAAAGTAAAAGTTCCGAGAAATAAGCCATCTAATTGGAATTACGAACTTAACAATACGATACGAAGGGAATGAAGATCATCTGAAATCCTGCACATCTCATGGTTGTGAATGACTTAACTAAGGAATGTTGCTTTGAATGTTTGCCATGAAAACGCCTATTGTCTAGCAATATTTCAACGGATGTAAAATAATTCATCTCTCACAAGGCCGTGCAAAAATTTTCGAACTATATATATATATATATATATATATATATATATATATATATATATATTGTTATGGGATCTTACATAATAATAATAATGGACTATTCCATACTTAATAAATACTGCGCCTCAGGAGTAAGCAAGGAGTCAGTAGTCAGTAGTTCAAGTCGAGTCAAGAGTCGAGTCAGAGGTAGTCCGAAACAAAGTCGCGTTCAGACAATTACTGCAAGATATTGGAATAGTGATACTTGTCGAGACTACATTGTTCTCTCTACTAAACCTGATTGTTCATACTAACACTTCTACTTCCCTGTATATATTCCTGTTTGTAATATATCTGTGTTATTCCATACCTGTGGTCGAGTTCTTCTTTATTGGTTCTACCTTGGACTATCACCGTGGTATAAGGAACCGGACCATATATATATATATATATATATATATATATATATATATATATATATTACTTTTTTATAATATTAAAATTAAACGATAGTATTAATATTAAATTCTAAAATGTCTTTTTAAAGTTTTTCCTATTTGAACAAGAGTTAATATTTTAATATAGGTCATTGTTAATTTTCCACCGTTTTTAACTTCTGTCTAGACTTCCTTTTCCCCCAAATACTTTGCTGTTTATTTCCTTTTTTTCTCTAACTATCTCCCTCTTGAATGCCTTTCCCTTAGTTCTGTTTCTTTTCTCTTTTTTCCTCTCTTTTTTTCTTCTTTCTTCCTTTCCTTTCTTTTATTGTCAATTCGAAAAAAAAAGAAAAAAAAAAATTTACGATTCATTTTCTTTATCAACTTTTTAGTACTGACAAGCTGCAGAGAATTTCTCTCTCTAGGAGCGAAATGGCTATATAAATATGATAAAATTGAGTTTCACTTTTATATAATTCATTTCTATGCTCTATAATAAATATATTGAGCACATTTTTGTGGATCAGTTTTAATATTTTATGTTATTAGCATTCATTTTGGATTACTTGCCCACGGATTTTTACACAACACATATATATATATATATATATATATATATATATATATATATATATATATATATATATATATATATATATATTAGTGGTAAATATATGATATTTCCGGAGTTGTTTTTTCTGTTTTCTTTTTGAATTCGTATTTACGATTCCAATGGAATAAATTATGACAATAGAATATTAGTGTTAAAGCCTTTTATTATATTTATATATATATATATATATATATATATATATATATATATATATATATATATATATATATATGTGTGTGTGTGTGTGTGTGTGTGTGTGTAATTATTTATTGGAAAAGTATAACATAAGTATGTTATAAAATCACTACGAAAGTAGCCATTTTGTTTCAACACTTCTGGTGTCTTATAAAGTGATGGTGTTGAACACAATTTTAATAATTTTAATAATCAAAAAATAATTAATAGAAATGGATAATCAACAGAATGAGAACAACCAATCTTGCTAGATAGAATATACGATCCAGTCCGAAATTCCTGGAAGCACAACATAATCGGTCGACAGACAGCCGACGCCCAAAATTTACACCGGTCAAAACGATGTGATTGTAAGAAGACAGTGGAGAGCATTCGTTCTTCTGTAAATAATGTTAATCATTTTGAAGTCTTATGTTTCCGTTAATTTTATTATCTATCTATCTATCTATCTATCTATCTATAAAAGGCAGGATGTGTGTATGTGTGTGTATGTATGTAATGAATGCACGGCCGCAATATTCGACTGATTTGCACCAATATCTATATGCACATGCTCCAAGTTACGAAACGGCCAAGACCGAATTTGCATTTCCCAACTCCCATCGATAGTGGAAATAATCGATTTTTTCATGCTTCTACGGCAGTTTTCATGTAGTTTGACGCCATCTTGTACTGGCCAAAGTGAGAGCCAATAGCTGGCCACCAAGAATAGGCAGGAAGATTCTATTGGCCAGCGTGAGAGCCAACAGCTGACGGACACGAATGTTAACTAGCATGCAAAAAAAAAAATCGATAGCTGCATTCGTCACAAGTGGGAAAAATTTAAATCTGCATGGCACTTTACTCAAATTGGCTCATACGCTTGCTTAAACTCAACGTTGATTCGATTGAACTATCTGCCTTTGGGTGGGGAGGAACCAAAACGAGGCTACTCCGAAGGGCGGAGTCTCTTTCGGTTTCGGGGAGGTAAACCGACCTTGAACCCGTTTAAACGGGTTCAAAGGGCATATTTTTGGCCGAGCCCACGGGATCGGAGATCCCACATTGAACCGGCCTTGTGCCACATGATGCCCTCGTAGGGGGGGTGACTAAATACCGTTCAGTCTGAAGTCTGGAGTGAAGTCCGTCAGGAGTCTGTCAGTCAGAGCAAGTGAGTCAGTCAGTCGAGCCAGGGGCAGTCCTAAACAGAGTCGCGTTCAGACAATTACTACAAGACATTGGAATAGTGATACTAGTCGAGACTACATTGTTCACCCTACTAAACCTGATTGTTCGTACTAACTCTTTCTACTTCTCTGTATATCTTCCTGTTTGTAATATATCTGTGTTATTCCATATACGTGTTCGAGTTCTTCTTTATTGGTTCTACCTTGACTATCACTGTGGTACAAGGAACCGTACCATAACAATATATATATATATATATATATATATATATATATATATATATATATATATATATATATATATATATATATATATATATAGGGGGTTGGACAAAACAATTGGAACAGGTGCAAATTCCATTCCTATATTTCAAAGACCTATTATATTAAGAACTTCGTAATTGCAGGTTATATCTATTGTAAATATGTTTATTTATCTAATTTACTCTCTTTGTCTTACTTATTTTTAGAATTTAGTAAAATTTATGCTAAATGCATGACCTCTCCGAGTCCGAAAAAGAGCAAATTTTTGGAGCTCGCATGGCAGGTGCCTCGATCACTAAGCTTGCTGGTCTGTTTTGTTTTTCAAGAGCTACCATATCAAGAACACAGATGCAATTCGAAAAACGGGGCAAGACCTCTAGCAACCGTCGCAATTCGGTCCGGATTTGAAAACTTACTGACAGGGACTGACGTGTATTGAAACGCAATGTGGCAAAAAATCATCGGACAAATACGGTCAAAGTGAGTGCTGAGTTGAATAGTTCTCTGAATAGTTCTCCACTCGCAACATTCAAAAGAGTCTGAAGTGGTGCAGAGATCACAATGCCTGGTCTGCAGACCAATGGAAGCAAAGTCATATTCTCAAACAAGTCCAGTTTTTCTCTTTTCCAAACTTCAGGGCGAGTTTATGTGTGGAGGCAGCCCAAAGAAGCTTACAACCCTGACTGCCTTCTTCCAACAGTGAATCATGGAGGTAGATCAGTGACAGTTTGGGCTGCCATATCATGGAAATGTCTTGGTTCAATAGTTGCCCTGCATGGTAGAATCAACAGCAAAGATTACCTGAACATTTTGGGAGATCATGTTCATCCAATGGCCGAGACTTTATTCCCTGATGGTGACTGAATCTTCCAAGACGATAATGCTTTAATACATACCGCTCGAGTGGTTACGAATTGGTATGAAGAGCATGAAAGTGAGCTAGAACATATGGAGGGGCCTCCCCAATCTCAAGATATCAATATTATTGAACATTTGTGGAGCATTTTGGAGCAATAAGTTAGAAGCCGCTATCCTCCAACGTCGTGTCGTAAAGAGCTGGAGAAGGTTTTAATGGAAGAATGATTGAAAATTTATCTGGATGAAGTCAGGAAGCCTTAAGATTCCTTTCCTAGACGTATTAAAGCTGTCAGTGAGGCTAAAGGAGTACCAACTCCATATTAAATATATATTCTTTGAATTTAACAAGAGTTCCAATAATTTTGTCCAACCCCAGTGTATATATATATATATATATATATATATTAATCCGGTTGTAATGAGTTTGGCCCCAACTCCGATGAATTATTGGCTGTATGATATTATATAGTCGCAGCATGCTGAAGTATAGTAGCAACGGTAGATGACCAGTGTTTTTATAAACATTATATAAGTCTCTAAGTAAAAAAAAAAATAACGTTTTCCTCATTTTAAACCATTGGCGATTTTCACTAGGGAAGGTCATACACGTAAGGAGATTTTGATTTTGAAACTGTAAGATTCATAATATTTTTTTTCTCTAAAGAAGGAATATATACGTTTTTTTTAAATGAATAAACTGAAAAAGAAATTACCCGTAGTGACATGTGTTAATCACACTGTCATTAGTAATAATATTATACGAAGACTTCAAATTTTTAATTATTGTAAAATATCTTCCTTCCACAATTAAAGCGAAAAAAAAACTCCTTTTTCTAAACTATATGTTTATGCATTTATATGCCTTGTCATTTGTAACTAAAGTTTACTATGAAAAACAGCATTGAATCCTTTTACTAGTGCGGCCTGCATTGTAACAAGCCATAGATCAAGCGGCTCACTGCTCGAAATGTTTGTGTATGTCTGATCACTGCGCACACACTCATGCATAATCATATACGCAAACACAATCACACACAGACAAACACACGAACACACAAAAACACAAACTGACACAGACACAAACGCACACACACACAGATATATATATGTAGATAGATAGATAGATAGATAGATAGATAGTGATAAATCTTGATACAGGGATGAATGTACATTCGCTATTTTTTAATGTGACTCGGCTTACTTCTATTTAAGTGTGTGTTTCATTGTATTTTTTCTCATGATACCTACTAGGCGTTCTTTTCAATATCCCTTGCTATGAAGGTTCGATTTGATATTTTTTTTTTTTCTCGGGGGATTCATTTCCCATTAATTGTCGTCTGTTTTCATTTGATTTCGTTTATCACTCTTTTCTCGGTTCTCCTTTTTATTTACATGCTAATTTACTTTATATTTTTATTTCCCAATACATCAATTTTCATTATTATAATTTCTCCCCTTCTCGTTTTTTTCTTTCTTTCTTTCTTTCTTTCTCACCATTTTCGTAAATCCCATTTTCAATTATTTTTCTCGTTCTCATTTTAACTTCCTCCTCTTTTTTCATCCCTTGTCATTCAGAACATTTATCCTTATTAAGTAATTTAACTTCACGTAAACAAAATCATTCCATTTTCTTTCGGTTTCTTCAATCCTTTTCGTTTATTTCCGTACATAATCCTCTTCATAGTTTCAAATCGTCCTTCATTGCTCTCTGTTTATTTTCATTCGAACTCTCGTCGGCTTTTTAATTATTTTCATTCACAATTTTTTTTTTTCTTAACTTTTTCATAAAACTGTTATTTCGCTCATTGAAGGTCTTCATTTGCAGCTTCGCTAACATTTCATTCAAAATAATTTTATCGCCATCTTCTTCCTCGATGTTTTTCATTCTTTATATTCAGGTCTCTTCCATTTTTTTCCATATTCTTTTTCAATCGCTTATTTTGTTTTGTTTTTCTCTTTTACATTATTTTCGTTCGATTTTTTTCATTACATTCAACCTTTTCCTTTGTTTTCATTCCATTTCCTTCTCAACGTTCATGTTTTATTCCTTCTTTCTCGTTTTCATTCTATTTGATCGTCCATTTAATTTCTTCTCTTGTAGGATATTTTCATTCGATTTCTTTCATTTAATTCAAGCTTTTTCTTCTTTTTCATTTCTTTTCAGTCTCTATGCTGATATCTTATTCATGCATTCTAATTTTTCATTCGTTGAATTCTTGTCGTTTTCATTCTTTCTCTTATGCATTATTTTTCGTTCATTTATTTCCGTTTGACGATATTCATTTTTCTTTTTTACTTCTATTTTTCTATTACTTTATTTTCATTTTTGTTTTAGTTTTTTTTTTTTTTTTTTTTTTGCTAAACCCATCTCAGGAAAAGGTTTCATTTTTTTTTTCTGTTTGAAATCCTTGCAAAATATATTGCCACTGTTTTAATTTTCCCTTCAAACCTTTTTTTTTTTCTTTTACTCTATCATCTTCTTTTTAGGTTTATCTTAATTCACTTTGTCAAAGCTTCTTCCGCAAATACCAACTCTTACATGTGCCTTCAATTTTCAGCAATTTAATCTAAATCCAAGATGCCACGTCTTTTCCTTCCATACCACTCACATTGATGACTTCCTTTCTCTCTTGTAAGATTCTTCATCATCAATTGAGTTCTGGTTCCTCTCAGCAATTAAATTAACCTTTTTTTTTATTTTTAAATCTTGAACATTGTCTTTGAACGAGAAATGTGTTATCAACGGTACTTTTTTAAAAATCTGTTAAGGTAATTTATTTTAGTAATTTTTTTTTTTCATTCTATTCATTTATTTAATGATTCATTTATTCTTATCTTTCATTAACTGTTTCAGGGTTTTGTCAGTGCAATACTCTTGATTCTATCTACTAATGTATTAGTCCCTAATAGAAGTAAATCTATTTAAAACGCTACATACGTTGACACTCTTGCTTAACGTCCTGGGGAGGATGATAATAGACTACACTTTATTTAATCTCTCATTTAGTGTTCAAAGTAAAACGCGGGTAAGTTTTGTTAATTATTTGCTTTTTTTAATTTAATGTTCCTTATCTGTGTGACGGTAACCCTACTTTCTGCAGTTTAAAAATATCCGTTCTAAATTAAAGTTATTGAGTTTACAAGCAGCAGAGTAAAACTTTGATCCTTTCGGTTGGTGGAATGTAATTGAAAAACAATCGATGAGTCGACGCCAGTTGAGGTCTAATCCTTGATTTTATTCTGTCACAATTACAGCGGCGATGAAGTTAAGATGTGATTCAAGTCGCAGAAGCTAGCGAGAAGACCGGACAGCTATCCGTCTCTAATCTGATACACCGAAGATGAATCTATGGATCCGAAGATCTCTTTTCTTTAACAATTGAAAGCTGAAGGACCAACGGATCAGTCATGATGTATGGTGATTATAGTGGGCGGTCCATCTCAATACGTAAAGGCTTATGGTCATAAATCAAGGGCCATCTGCTACTTGAGACAAGATAAGTGATCTTTGTCCTTGGCCATTTCCGCGTTAAGTTATTATTTGGTCGAAGGAAGTCATCTTTCTTTAAAATTTATAGAGCTGAATAGAATTCGAAGTTTATATCGGAGATTACAGCTTCGAAATACAAAGAAATGGGATTGAGAGCATGGCCAAAATTGAGATGGAAGAGACTGTTCAAAGGTAAAGCCAAATGATTTCTAATTTGTTTAGATGGGCCCGAATTGAGATGTCATATTATTATTTTAAATATAGCTTAAAAATAGGGATAGGTTTTAGTATGTAATTCATTTTGAATCGAAGTTTATTTCAGTCTTTCTCGAGAGAATCAATGTTGACGAGACGCAGGCGGAAATCAGTAAATTTCCTGCATATATATATATATATATATATATATATATATATATATATATATATATATATATATATATATATCCCATAAGTTCTTTCCGAATTTTGAATAAAGAAAACAAGTGACCAAATGTTACATTTAATTACAGATTCAATCAACAATGTATTTTCCCTGATTATCTATGACTTCCTTCCATCTATTAACAAGCTTACTAATTCCATTACTGTAAAATCCTTTTGGCTTTGATTCGAAGAACTCACAAATGTCCGTTTTAACCTCGTTCTGTGTTACAAAAGCTGTTTCTTCCAAATGATTGTGTAAGCTACGAAACAAATGGTAGTCTAAAGGAGCAAGATTGGGAGAATAAGGTGGATGAGGAATTTTCTCCCAACAAAGTTCTTCGATCTTTTGTGACGTGATTCTTGCTGTGTGGGGTCGCGCATTGTTCTGATGAAACATCACATCTTTTCGATTCACTAGAGCAGGTCTTTTGATCCTCAAAGCTTGGTTCAAACGCTCTAATTGCTGAAAGTATATTTGAGCATTAATTGTTGAATTAGGTGGTAAGAATTCAAAGTGAAATTATTCTTTGGCGAACCCACCAGATTGAAAGAAGAACCTTTTGCCCATGAAGTTCCCTTCTCGGCTGTGGCTGGGGTCCCTCCCTTTTACAAAGCCACTGTCTACGACGCTTAAAATTTCAATAAAAGATCCATTTTTCGTCGCCAGTCACAAGTCTATCCAAAAAAGTTGAAACAAGTTGCCGAGAATGGAGAGAAAAACAGATGTCAACTCGGGATTTGAGGTTATTTTCAGACAATTCATGAGGCACCCATTTTCCAAGTTTAGGAACTTTTCCAAATTGTTGAAGATGAAGATTAACAGTTGTATGATTTGAACTGAGAACCACTGCCAATTCCTCAAATGAATAAAGCAGGATTTTCTTCAAGGGCTGCTTCAAGAAGCTTTTCATCAAACTCAACTGGACGTCCCGTTCGATCTTCATCTTCAAGGGTGAAATCTCGCCATCTTCTGCAAGTTCTTTTATTCACACATTCCTCTCCATAAACTGAGTAAATGTTTCTAGCTGCTTCGGCTGCTGAGTTTTTCCGAATCCTTTCTTGAACTCATAAAGCATTATGTGCCTAAAATGATTCTTGGGTACTTCCATGTTTAATCAAACAAGAATTAATTTTATTGTTTTCTGAAATAAAATTTGATCAGTTTAAATGCATCTAAACATAAAAAATAATGTTCAGCTCCATTAGTCACTATAAAATACTCTTTAAATTTCGTTCATTTTAACAAAAGTTCAAATTCAGACAGAACTTATGGGATGACCTGATATATATATATATATATATATATATATATATATATATATATATATATATATATATATATATATATATATATATATCTCCAATGTATACGGAATAAATTACAATAACCAAAAATACTATTCCTAAAATAGTGCTCAATACACAGTAGAGCAAATAAAATTTATTCGAAAATTATAACAAAAATATGTCATACAATCACTACAAAATTAGCCATTTTGTTTCAACACTAATGGTGTCTTAGCGGCTGGCATGAAATTAGCGATAGAGTAGCGACATTTCGGCAGTTGGAAATCCATCACCTAAAAGGCCGCGTAAATCACTTTGAACTCTATCAAGATTTTTTACGGAAAGTGTGCAATTAAGGTGTTGAACTTGATAAGACACCAAAAGTATTGAAACAAAATGGCTATTGTTGTAGTAATTTTATAACATATTTATGGCATAATTTTCGAATAAATAATATATATATATATATATATATATATATATATATATATATATGTGGGGGGTATATGCTGGACTCTTCTGTCGTTTCTTTGACGTATGAGGGTAAAGCAACTCAGTTCCTAGCATCCAACAACAAGACAACAGTACATATGATTTGATTATAGTGGCGAAGGTTTTGTGCAGAAGCAAGCAGACATTTGAAGGGCCGAATACAGAGACCTGGTGCACTACGTGCCACAAGGTCCCCAAATGATGCTCGTCAGGTTTTGAATTCAGAGTTTTAAATCTCCTAGACCACTTGCCATCTAAGACTACAGAACCCGGTCTGGCCCGGGCGTGAACAAGAAGATTCATAGCTTTTCCAAGGGTATTAGCGCGCGCTAATATGTGTGTGTGTGTGCGTGTGGGCGCGCGCACGCGCAATGTATTAAATTTAAAAGTTTTTGCTCCTTTATGTTAAGAAAACAAAAATAAAATCCACACTTTCCGTAAAAAATCTTGATAGAGTTCAAAGTGATTTACGCGGCCTTTTAGGTGATGGATTTCCAACTGCCGAAATATCGTTACTCTATTCCTAATTTCACGCCAGTTTCAAATCGTGAGGAAATTATCCAGGATTCAGTGTCATATTGTAATTTAAAGTTTTTACTGAATTCCAGCACGCATTTCATTGATTTTAAGGATCCCTTAATACTTTGTTTAATTGCTGAAATCATATTTTGCGATTCATTCGGGCCTTCTGATTTCTGTGACGAAATTCTTGTCATCTGTTGCTACGGACAGTTAAATGTCAGCTACTACATACAATCGATAAATTTGATAAACCCTGCTGACGCTGAACATGAATCGTGTTCTCTTTGCAAAAATTGTTCTTGAGGTGGTTAGAGAAATGTTTCTCTATTGCTTTCTCGACAGTGATTTTATTGAGACACCACCGTTTTTTCTAGGTTGACTTTAAGTTCATTCGCTCTTCGGTAGCTATTAATTCCTTTTGCTACCTATCTCACTATTCTCCTTCATTCCTTCATCGAAGAAGAGGAGCCGGTTTACTCGCAGACAATCCTGCTAAAATAATCATGCTAATATTAGGTTCGCTAGTGAAAAGTGGAATAGTCTACCCCTCACTACAATCGACGGTTGGACCTGTATCTTCTGTCGTCATTTTAATCTAAAGTCTTCTTTTTCCCTATAGACTTCGCATTTTCAAGTTTGGTTGATATTGTTTAGCGGTATATCAACCACTGTATGGTACTTTCTGCCGAAATCTAAGTATTTTAAACGCAATTCCATACGTTCAACTGCAGATAAAATATACTGTTGTTCATTTTAATATAAATATTTTTATTCTTTCAAACTTTTTTTTTGTTTTTGTTTTTGGTTCACTATTTGACATAGCTGGTACCCTAACAGGTGATACCAACACAGTTCAGGATGGAGTTGGCAAAAACAGCAATTAAGAGATTCGTATATTTGGATGAAAATTTACAATATCTTTCAATGAAATGCTCACTTTCCAAAATTACATTTTACTAGAAAGACCCCTGAAAATGCCATGGTTACCCTGTTTGAATTTTCAAATGAATCTTAATTCTTAAGTTAGTTAATGAGGGTGGATAAACTCATGTCGCGTAA